TGGTTAAAGAAGCTCACTGCCATCGAGTCGATTCTGACCCTTAGTGACCTCCATTGGGTTTCCGAGCAGTAAATCTTTACTGAAGTAGATTGTCCCATCTTCCTTGCCCAGAGCTGCTGCTGGGTTTGAACCACCAACCTTCTGGTTAGCAGGCAAAATGCCTTAGGCACTGCACCACCAGAGCTCCTGGTTAAAGGAGTATATTAAATATTTCATAGATCTTGATCAATTTTCCTGAGGAACAACTTTGAAAAGTGCCACTTTACTAACCATGACAGCACTGGACATTATCAGTTTTTATTTTTGTCAATTAATTCTGCAAACAAACTCTGTCTTCTCCTCTAGGAAGGAAAGATTGTTTTGACTCTTACATATTTTATAAGGCATGTTAAAAAGAAAGTCAATTCAATATATATAAGTGATTGTAATTTTGATTTCTGAGAACCTGCCACTTATTGCTGGAATTGTTATTGCCTCTCACCAATTACAAAATTCTTCCTGGATTAGGATTGTAGGAAGTTTCTGACAAAGTGGCCAAGGAGAACAGGTGGGGATTTTGAAAAGCTTGGTGCAGACCAGCTTGGAGCATCCCAGAATATATACATGTAGTACATCATTTTTATAAAGCTAGTAAGTGAACAAAACTAAACAATATATTTTTAGACACATACGTAAAATATATGTGTTTATGTGTGAGGTAGAGAGAACGTGAGCATAAACTGTATATAAATGTTCTTGTTAGGTGCCATCGAGTCAGCTCCAACTCATAGCAACCCTATGTACAACAGAATGAAACGCTGCAGGGTCCTGTGCCAGCCTCATAATCCTTGCTATACCTGAGCCCATCGTTGTAGCCACTGTGTCAATCCATCTCGTTGAGGGCCTTCCCCTCTTTCATTGACCCTCTGCTTTACCAAGCATGATATCCTTCTCCAGGGACCAAAGTAGGTCAGACGAGGTCTGGCCATTGTCACTTCCAAGGAGCTTTCTGGCTGCACTTCTTCCAGAACAGATTTGTTCTTTTGGCAGTCTGTGGTATTTTCAGTAGTCCTTGCCAATACCACAACTCAAAGGCATCAACTCTTCTTCGGTCTTCCTTGTTCATTGTCCAGCTCTCACATGCATATGAGGTGATTGAAAATACCATGGCTTGGGTTAGGCACACCTTAGTCTTCAAGGAGACATCTTTGCTCTTCAGTACTTGAAAGAGGTCTTTTCCAGCAGATTTGACCAGTGCAATACATCATCTGATGTCTTGACTGCTGCTTCCATGGGACTTGATTGTGGAACCAAGTAATATGAAATCTCTGACAACTTCAATCTTTTCTCCATTTATCATGATGCTGTTTATTGTTCCAGTTGTGAGGATTTTCTTTTTCTTTATGTTGAAATTTAATCCATACTGCAGACTGTAGTCTTTAATCTTCATCATTAAGTGCTTCAAGTCATCCTCACTTTCAGCAAGCAAAATTGTGTTATCTGCGTATCACAGGTTATTAATGAGTCTTCTTCCAATCTTGATGCCACGTTCTTCTTCATACAGTCCAGTCTTGGATTATTTGTTCAGCATACAGATTGAAAAAGTATGGTGAAAAGATACAACCCTGATGCACTCCCTACTTGATTTTAAACCATGTAGTGTCCCCTTATTCTGTTTGAATGACAGCCTCCTGGTCTATGTACACGTTCCTCATGAGCACAATGAAGTGTTCTGGAATTCCCATTCTTCTTAATGTTATCCATAATTTGTTATGATCCACACAATCGAATGCTTTTGTATAGTCAATAAAATACAAGTTAACATCTTTTTGGTATTCTTTGCTTTCAGCCAAGATCCATTTGACATCAGCAATGATATCCCCCATTCCACGTCCTCTTCTGAATCCAGCTTTCATTTCTGGAAATTCTCTGTCAATATAGTGCTGTAACCATTTTTGAATATCTTCAGCATGATTTCACTTGCATGTGATATTAATGATATTGTTTGATAATTTCCACATTCTATGGGATCATCTTTCTTTGGAATGGATACAGATATGGATCTTTTCCAGTCAGCTGGCCAAGGAGCTGTCTTCCATATTTCTTGTGATAGACAAGCAAGTGCCTCTAGTGTGGCATCCACTTTTTGAAACATCTTAATGGGTACTCCATCTATGCCTGAAGCCTTGTTTTTCATCAAGTCCTTCAGTGAAGCTTTGACTTCATCCTTTAGTACGGCTGCTTATTGGTCATATGCCACCTCCTGAAATGGATGAACACTGACCAATTCTTTCTGGTACAGTGACTCTGTGTATTCCTTCCACCTTCTTTTGATGTTTCCTGCATCACTCAGTATATTGTCAATAGAATCTTTCAATATTGCAACTCGAGGCTTAGATATTTTTCTTCAGTTCTTTCAGCTTGAGAAATGCCAAGTGTGTTCTTCCCTTTTGGTTTTCTAACTCCAGGTCTTTGCACATTTCATTATAATAATTGACTTTGTTTTCTCAAGCTGCTCTTTGAAATCTTCTGTTCAGCTCTTTTACTTTATCATTTCTTCCATTTGCTTTTGCTACTCTCTGTTCAAGGGCAAGTTTGAGAGTCTCTTCTGACATCCATTGTGGTCTTTTCTTCCTTTCCTGTCTTTTTAAAGACCTTTTGCTTTCTTCATGGATAATGTTCTTGATGTCATCCCACAATTCCTCTGGTTTTTGGTCACGGGTGTTCAATGCATCAAATCTATTAGATGGTATCTAAATTCCGGAGGGATATAATCAAGGTCATATTTTGGCTCTGTGGACTTGTTTTAATTTTCTTGAGCTTCAACTTGAACTTGCATATGAGCAGTTGATGGTCTGTTCCACAGTCAGCTCCTACCCTTGTTTTGGCTGAAGATACTGAGCTTCTCTATCACCTCTTTCCAGGAGCTATGGTAGCCTAGTGCCTAAGGCACTTGACTGGTACCAGAAGGCTGGCTGTTCAAACCCACCAGCCACTCCTTGGAAAGAAGTTTGGGCAATCTACTTCCGTAGTGATACCTCCTTGGGAACTCAAGGAGGGGTCGCCATGAGTCAGGTCCGACTCGATGGCACATAACAACAACAACCTCTCTCCACAGCTGTAGTTGATCTGATACCTGTATACTCTATCTGGCGAAGTCCACTTGTATAGCCACCGTTTGTGTTGTTGCAAAAAACGTTATTTTCAATGAATAAGTTATTGCTCTTGCAAAACTTAATCATGCAATCTCCAGTGTTATTTCTATCACAAAGCCATATTTTCCAACTACTGGTGATTCTTCATTTCCAATTTTTGCATGCCAATCACCAGTGATAATCTACACATCTTGATTGCATTTTTGCAATTTCAGACTGCAGACGTTGGTAAAAATTTTCAATTTCCTCGTGCTTTAGCTTTGGTGGTTGGGGCGTAAATTTGAATAATAGTCATATTAACTTCCTCATAGGCATATGGATATTATCCTATCACCGATACCAGTATACTTTAGGACAGATCTTGAAACATTCTTTGTGATGATGAATGCCATGCTATTACTCTTCAATTGGTCATTCCCGGCATAGTAGATCACATGGCTGTCTGATTCAAAATGGCCAGAAGCAGTCGTTTTAGCTCAGTAATGCCTAGGATATGGATCTTTATGTGATCCATTTCATTTTTGATAACTTCCAACTTTCCTAGATTTATTCTTCATACATTCCATGTTCTGATTATTAATGGATGTTTGCAACTGTTTCTTCCCATTTTGAGTCATGGCTCATCAGGTAATGGAGGTCCTGAAAGCTTTACTTCCTCCACGTCAATAAAGTCAGCTCTACTCTGAAGAGACATCTCTTCCCCAGCCATATTGAATGCCTTCTGACCTGAGGGGCTCATCTTCTGGCACTATATAGGGCAATGTTCATAAAGTTTTCCAGTAATATATCAGACAGTGTTTCACTGCTATTCATAAGGTTTCCACTAACTAATTCTTTGAGAAGTGGATGGCCCCTTCCTTCTTCTGAGTCTGTCTTAGTCTGGAAGCTCAGCTCAAACCTGTCCACCATGGGTGACCATGCTGGTATTTGAAATGAAGCCTCACAAGCCACCACAGTACAACAAACTGACAGACAAGTAGGGGTGTATACAAATACTCTTGAGAAAAATATGGAAGTCTGGAAGGAGTGATGATAGGGGCTGAGACAAGAAGGCACATACAAGGTTCCTATGTGTAGTGGGTTCACATGTGTTTAATATTATCTTCCATTACCTGTATTTACATATTTGATACCAATATTCTTTTAATATGTATTATATTAACACATAACATAGTAATTTTATTAATATTATTATTAATCTGTAATAAAAGTATGTATAAGTCAATGCTTTAATGTAATAATACAGAATATTAAAAACAAAAACCAGAAGAAAATAGACATGGTAGAAAATAGGCTTTCAGCGTGGTGCTTCAAGCACTAAGACCAGACATGACAATTGACAGAGGCATAGCTTCATTAGCCAACTTTTCCAGGTGTAACTGCGAAAAGCTGAGAAGTTACAAGGCATTGAGTAAATTCACGCTAGTTATGAAACAGTGAATAAAATAATTTGTGCTGTGGGAAACTGGAGCATTAGCAAATAAGGAGGCTGAAAACAAGAGTAAAAGCGTTCCCAGAACTAGTTCCCACATTGGTTCACCTTCTTTCGTGTGAAATTCTTCCCTCGGCAACGCTGTTGTTGTGTGCTGTGGAGTCGGACCAACTCATAGCGACCCCTCCTTGGATTCCAGAGGCAGTATCGCTATGGAAGTAGATTACCCAACCTTCCTTCCAGGAGTGGCAAACCAGTCCAACCAAAAATATTTGCCCGGTTGTAAAATGGCGGCCCTGATGCCCCCAACTTAAACATACAGCGCATGTCCGGAAGTTACGCTCCCCATAATGTGGCAAGCCTCTACCCGTGCGGAGAGTTTCCGCCATTTTTGAAAATCTGGAGAGTTCTGGGATCGTGTAGGAGCTGCCGTGATGGCCACCTTTGCTGTGGAACCCCAGGCGCCTACACTGGGTGAGTCAAAACCTGTTTTTTTCCTCTGGCACTACGATTCAAGCCGCCGGCCTTGGAAGGGAGCTATCGAGACAGAAAGGTAGCAGTCTTCAGGCTCTCATCTGCTAATATCAGCCATGGAGTGGAGGTAGCACTGGGTCCCCCAAGTTTATAGTCGGCCCTGTGCTCGAGATGGTCCCACCCTGTCGCTGCCAAGGCGGCTGCAGGAAGCTGCTAGCCAAAGGGAGGCTGAGGAAACGGCTGTCGGGTAGTGTCAACGGGTTTTGTGTCCACCATCACCCTACTGGCTCTTGCTTGCGCCTTGCGGGCACTAGAGACGCGGTTCTGGGTTTCCGGATTCTCGGAAGGGTAGGTGAAAGTTACTGTCCCACATACACGTGGGTGGGCGGCGCCCTGGAATGCGTAGTTACTGTAGATTGCTTCTTGTTCACCTACGCTTCGAGTTCCTGTTTTGATCTTCTCCCTTACCTGTTCAATGGGAGGGCTCTTCTGGCTTTGCAAAAGGAATTACTTATTAATGGAACCTTGAATCGTGAGACATTTGACCAATCAGGTGATGATAATCACTGAGGTATTGGTCTTACTAGCATGCCAGGAGTTGTCACGATTTTTCCCTCCATCTTGCCTCTTAATATTGTAGGTAGCCTTTTCCTATCATCACTCATGATGTGAATTTTCTGATTCATCCACATTGTTTATTGGAAGTTTTGTTGAAATTATGGGCGCTCTGGTAGCGCTGTGCTGTAAAGCACTGGGCTGCTAACCAGAAGGTCGGAGTTTCGAACCCACTAGCCCTTTCCTGGGGAGCTCTGGTAGCATAGTGGCTAAGACACTTGCCTGCTCACCAGAAGGCTGGCGGTTCAAACCCACCAGCCACTCCTCGGAAGGAAGGTTGGGCAATCCTACTTCCGTAGTGATACTGCCTCGGAAACCCAAGGAGGGGTCGCTATGAGTCAGGGCTGACTCGACGGCACATAACAACAACAACAACAGCCCTTTCCTGGGAGAAAGATGAGGCAGTCTGCTTCCTGAAAGATTTACAACCTTGGGAACTGTGGGGCAGCTCGTCCTATTGGGACTCGATGAGTCTGAATCGACTCGATGGCAGTGGGTTTGGATTTTTGGTTTTGTTGAAATGTGTCATCCCTGAGAAATCCTACCAAATTAAAAGGAATTGATTCCCTTTTTTGTTGCTAAGTTGTGTGACTTGTGAGACCCGCTTAAACATTTAGAATAGGAAATAAATCGCTTATATCACAGAGATTTACTCGAAAATTAAGTAACATCTTTTTGAATTTGGCAAAGAGAGCAAGCGCAATAGGTATATTGTTGTTATGTGCTGTGGAGTCGGACCCGACTCATAGTGACCCTTCCTTGGATTTCTGAAGCAGTATCACTACGGAAGTAGATTGCCCAACCTTTCTTCCGAGGAGTGGCTGGTGGGTTTGAACCCCTAGCCTTCTGTTTAGGAGTCAAGTGCCTTAGGCACTACGCCACCAGAGCTTCTAGGTATATTGTAGTAGGAGTTTTTTAGAGTTGCAGTGCATGTAATGCTTGTCGTAAGTTTTCACACAGTATGTTTCTTTTGAGAAGAGATTAAGGTGAATTATTTTTTATTAGTCCTATAAAAAATGCATAACGTCAGTGATACAGACTCTGCTACGTTTAAACTTAGCGTGCAGAGGTTAAGTTTATTATTTTTTTTAATGTACTTGAGAGATCAGAAAACTATTCATGTCCAGTTACCTTTTTCTTTCTTTTCAACTAAATGTTTTGGAGTGCAGCTCCACGTATTGTAGCTATTTCATGCGAGGAATAATTATTTTCCCAGCATCTAATGATATACCTCTGGTGGCACAGTGCCTAAGGCATTTGACTGCTAGCCAGAAGGCTGGGGGTCCAAACCCACCAGCCACTCCTCAGAAGGAAGGTTGGGCAGTCTACTTCCGTAGTGATAACGCCGTTGGAAACCCAAAGATGGTCCTATGAGTCGGCTCCAACTCGATGGCGGTCAGTTTGGTTTTGGTTTTTAATGATATATTAAAACTAAGCGTTTACTTCCTTAGTTTTAGCAGTTAAACAGTCTGCTATCTTAGTAACACACCTGTATGTATCATTTAGAAGTACAGACTGTGAAATAGAGTTTAAGACGTGGAAGATACTTAGAAATTGGTTAAGCTTTCTCTTTTGGGGAATTTCAGTTTTGAGGGGAGTTTAGTAATAGAGCCAGGATTAGGGTTAGGATCAAGATTAGGAACCTGTGGTGCTTTCCATTGTGTCACAATATATCTCCAGATATAGCTACATCAGAACTTCTCTTAGTTCTTTTATTTGCATATATATATTTATATTATTTTATTTTTTCTTTTAGATCATGGAGGAGGGACACTAGTTGCTGGTGTTACCTAAAACTTTGTGTTTATTACTGTGGTTTTCTAAGTATCTATTCACAATTTTTTAAAAAACCTAAGTACCATCTTAATATTTCTTTTGCTATGCTTTTGGTTTAATTTTAGTGTATGTTCTTTATAATATGAATAGTAACATTGTAACAGATAATTACAATGTAATTGTAGTTCTTTACATCTTCCTTCAGTATTTGCTTTATTCTTTCCCTGACTTACTCTGCCTTTTTGCCCTTTTATACACTTGCATTGTTAATACCAAGGTCCATAATGAGAGATGAGAGAGAATAAATTATTGAAAGCTATTGGATAGCCAGAAGCAATTTTTTTGAGGCTGTTTAGAAGTTAAAGAATAGTTTATAAAAAGAATATAAATAACATATACAATATTTGACTTTTGTGCCACAAATCTCATTCAGGCTTGCCATTGTTGAAAAACTAAGTTTTCATAAAGATAAATTGCAAATTCTGCATTTATACATTAATTACTTAGTTTTTACTATTATAAAATCTTGGGAAAATAAGAATAACTAGTATTTGTTGAGTACTTACTGTATATTGGTCCTAAGTCAACTGCTATCTTATCTAATTCTATTAACAGCTTTGTGAGTGGGTACTATGATTATGACTATTCTGTTAAGAGAATTTGAATCCAAGTCTTTGACCCCACAATCTGTATTTTCTTTACTGTGCTATTTTGCACTGAAATTAAAATTTCCTTTTAACAGTGGGAATAATAATACATACTTTATATATAAGTTGTGAAGATTAATTCGAATTGATAATTATGATGTATCAGTTCCCTTTTAAAATTGATTTTATATTAGGGAGACTTTTTTATTCATTATTCCTAACTTTTAGAACTAATAATTAAAAAAAGAAAAAATCCAAAAAATACAACTTTCCATTGTTTCTGAGTTAGGATACTGTTGTTGTTGTTCTTGTTGTTATGTGCCATCAAGTCTGACCCGACTCATAGTGACCCCTCCTTGGGTTTAAGATGTGGTATCACTATGGAAATAGATTGCCCAACCTTACTTCTGAGAAGTGCCTGTTGGGTTTGAACCGCCAGCCTTCTGGTTAGCAGTTAGGCACTATGCTACCAGAGCTCCTGAGTTAGGATACTAGACATTATGATTACTGCTTTAGTTCTTTAATATGTGTATGTGTGTTTAAAAATGATTTACTGTTTTGTGTCTGATATGCTGAGATTTTATATGAATAACTGTTTTTTGTTGGATGATAGTAGAATGTGATCCAGAAATGCAAAGAAGTTAGTGTGTTTATATTAGGTTTTAAATATTAAACTATTTTTTAAATTTGAAAATAATCTTTGATTCTTAAATCTGTGAAATACACACAGAAAGCTGTCAAATATTACTGTTGTTAATATAACATTTATATTGTTTTGGAAATAATTTTATTGATTTATATAATAAGTTCAACTATGATTCTGTAATATTTAACAACTTTGATTAAATTCTCAAAAATTATTTATGCCAGTTGTGTTTTTTGTTAGCATTTGTAAAAGAAAAGTTATTTATTATTATATTATTATTTTGATTCATTTAGGATCTGAACCAATGATGCTGGGTTCTCCGACCTCTCCAAAGTCAGGAGTTAATGCTCAGTTTTTACCTGGATTTTTAATGGGGGATTTGCCAGCTCCAGTGACTCCACAACCTCGGTCAATTAGTGGCCCTTCAGTAGGAGTAATGGAAATGAGATCACCTTTACTTGCAGGTAGGTAAATTGCTTAAAACAGTTTTATAATAATATTCATACAAGTACTAGAATTTTGAAAACAGAATGGTGCAGCATTCACCCTTATCAAAATATTTATTAACTAAAAAAACCAAACAAGATTTCTAACTTTGATTTTAAGGCTTTGGAAATAGAAGTATGAGCAGAATAAGCTATTCTTATTCTAAAAGCCACTCATTAAAAATATGCTTACTAAAATTTTTTTACCATTCTAAGATGCTATTGATTGTAAAACTCACCATTATTTTATGTACCACTTGTAAGTAAAAACACTAAATATGACACATTGCTAAGATCTCATTAAGGAGCTCTGGTGGTCTAGTGCCTAAGGCATTAGACTGCTAACCAGAAGGTTGGCAGTTCAAACCCACCAGCTACTCCTTGGAAGGGAGGTTGGGCAATCTACTTCTGTAGTGATACTGCCTCGGAAACCCAGGAGGGGGTGGATATGGTTGGATCTGACTTGATGGCAGTGTGTGTGTGGAAGATCTCATTGTTTGTAAAACATAGTCCTATTTCAGATGTTAAAAGTGTAAGAGGAAGTGCCTGTTAGAATTGATGAAACATACTCATCTGACTTTTAAATTCAGTTAAAATAATTCTTCTTGAATTATAAGAATAGCAAATATTCAGTGAAAAGAAAGAGTAATTTTAGAATTTATAGATATAACTTTACTTTGCAGTCATAGTCTCGCATAAATATGTTTAGTGAAATGACTTAACTCTGTAAAATATGGGGTGTTGTTACCCAGAATTAACAATTGTCAGCACAAAATATTGTTACCTAAATGCAGCATATATCTATTACAGGTCTCTTTAAGCAAAGAAGGACTATGAGAATTAGCTACAAAAATAGTTGAAATATAATTGTAAGCTAGTATGCTTGTAACTGCTTACATAGGAGCTCTTTTTTTCAGTTGCCATTAATGTGTTATTTGGTTAAAAGTGGTTTGTTCTCATTTTTTCTTTAGGATTGATCAGGGGAAATTATCATAAATTATATTTGAGGTTATTTACTTGAGAACATCATTTTCTGGACAGCCTTTTTACCTTATGTTCTGCTCTTAGTATTTTATGATTGTAGCTAGCATATATGAAGCATCTATGAACCAGGAAGTATGCTAAGCACTTTGTGTATGTTCTTCCTTTTCTTCAATCAACCTTACAGGGTAGGTATTCAAACCACACCAAAACCATTGCTGTGGAGTTGATGCTGACTAACAGCAACCCTGTAGGACACAGTAGAACTGTCCATAGGGTTTCTTTACAGAAGCAGACTGCCATCTTTCTCCCATGGAGTGGCTGGTAGGTTAGAACTGCCGAACTATAGGTTAACTGCTGAGTGCTTTAACCACTGCACCAGTGGGTAGTAAAACCAAAACCAAACAAACTGCCATCGAGCCGTTTCTGACTCATTGTGACCCCCATTGGGTCTTCAAGTCTGTAAATCTTTAAAGAAGTAGATTACCTGATCTTTTTCTTATGAAGCTCCTGGTGGGTTTGAACCGCCTACTGTTTGGTTTGTGGCCAAATGCTTTACCCACTGCACCACTAGAGCTCCTTTCAAAAGAGGAAACTCAGGCTAAATTTAATAAAGAACTGACTGAAGTTCACTTGTTAGCCAGTGATCGAGTAGGGGTCTAAATCTAAACAGCTTATGCTGTACTGCCTAGATTCAGACGTTTGTTTTATAGGGGCCCTGGGCTGCTTCACGGTTTGGCATAGTTGATTCTCTGATTTATAAAGATATCTTTATGTCACAAAAAGTTTATCCGTTTCCATATCTTTATTATGTACTTAAGGAGCTCTGGAGGTATAGTGGTTGTTAAGCATTCGGCTGCTAACCAAAAGGTTGGCGGTTCGAACCAACTGGCTGCTCAGTGATAGAAAGATGAGGCGGTCTGCTTCTTTCTGTAAAGATTTACAACCTTGGAAACCCCATGGGGTAGTCTGACCCTGTCTTAAAGGGTTGCTATGAGTTGGAATTGACTTGATGGCAGTGGGTTTTGGTTTTGTTATTAGGTACTTAAATTATTTCAGCTGTGAGAAACATGAATTTTTAACCTTGACAGTCGAATTCCACATTTAAGGATTGTTATACTTATTTAAAAGGTGCTCTGGTGGTGTAGTGCCTGAGGCATTTGACTGCTAACAAGAAAGCACACAGTTTAAACCCACCAGTTGCCCTGCAGAAGGAAGATGGGGCAGTCTACCTCTGTAAATGAAGGTCACTGTGAGTTGGAATTGACTCCATGGTAGTGG